GGGGGGGGGGGGGTAGGGAAGTAGGGGGAGAAATAGGAGAAAATGAGGGAAAAGAAATGTACTCAAAAAGAAATGTACTCACGACCTGACTGATATAACTGTAGCCGCCTCTCTGTACCCCACCTCTACAATAAAATGTTTTTAATCCTTCTTGAGAACTAAAGTAGTTACTTACTTTCCAAAAAAGTATTTATCACCAGAAGTCAGCAGCTAACACCTGTAATCCTAGCTACTCAGAAAACTGAAATGTGAGGATCACAAGTCAACAATTAAGCACCAAAAAAGCCAGAGGTGGACCTGTGGCTTAAGTAACAGAACACTAGCCTTGGGCAAAAAAGCTCAGGGACAGTGTCCAAGCTGAGTTCAAGCACCAGGGTGGGCACAAAACAAAAAAAACTATTTATCAAATATTTACCATGTACCAAAAAAAATACCTGTTTTAAGCACTCTGAGTCAACAAGTACAGCTAAACATAAAGTTTAAAATTACACCTTGTTTTAGAATGTCATTAACAATATTTTTATTTGCTTAATGAAGAGGTATACATGTACAGTCTAAAATTTTTAATTTACTACAAAAAAATTTCCCCTGAGAACACATGCATCTAATATTCTGATCATAAATTTTGTGGAAACAATCTTAAGACTTGCTACAGATAAGTCAATGCAGTAGGAAAAATACATATATTTTTTATGTATATGTGAAAAGGACACAATGAAACTCCTTTCTAGAAAATTGTAAGCGTTAAGAAGAGAGTTGGGTAAGGGGAGATAAGAGAGAGTAATGGAAGGAGTAAATAAGATCCAAGTATACTCTTATGTATATATAGAAATATCACAACAAAACCTCTCACTTTGGACAATTAACCTATGATTTTAAAAAAATTTATCTGTCAGTCTTGGGGTTTGAACTCTGGTCCTGGGTGTGTCCCTGAGCTTTTTTACCCAAGGCCAGCACTCTATCACCTGAGCTATAGCTCTACTTCTGGTTCTTTTGGTACTTAATTAGAAATAAGAGTTTTCACAGACTTTCCTGTCTAGGCTGACTTCAGAGATCCTCAGAGCTCAGCCTCCTGAGTAACTATAGGCATGAACAACCAGCACCTGGCTTTCAGGGCCCAAATTCTTTTTTTTTTTTTTTCTTGTCTGATACTAAGACTCGAACTTGGTATCTGACACTTTTGTTCACTGGCTGGCACTCTATTACCTGAGCCACACCTCCAAACCTGCTCAGAGTCCAAATTCTTAAGTATTAAATTAAACAAAAGCAAATCAACTCAGTTACACTGCAAGCTCTGAAAAAGGAACCAGCTCATATTTGCAGTATGAGTTGCCTGCTTCCCAAGAGGCATGACCTACTTGGTGTAGTAATAAAAGAAAGAAGCCAGGTGCCGGTGGCTCACGCCTGTAATCCTAGCTACTAAGGAGGCTGAATCTGAGGATCGCAGTTCAAAGCCAGCCCAGGCAGGAAAAAGTCCTGAGACTCTTACCTCCACTAAAGTGGCACTGTGGCTCAAGGAACTGTGGCCTTGAGCAGAGAAACTCAAGGACAGTGCCCAGGCCTAGAGTTTAAGCCCCATAACCAACAAAAAAAAAAAAGGAAAGATTTGCAAAATTTAAATGTTTTCTATTAAAACTCATCAAAAATCTATAAATTAAGATATCTGACTTTAGTCCTGAATCTAAAACCAACTTTCTCGATTTATTGTGAAATGGTACTACAACTCAACAAAATAATTCTGCAGTTAGTGGGGTTTATAATCACATGCAGCAAGATTAAAGTTATGAGTATTTAAAGCAAGGACTAACACATTATGCTTCCAGAAAGAATATTTAATAAATTAATTTGTTTGTTAGTTAATAAATATAGGTAAAGAAGTATATTTCTACATATGTTTCCAGCCTTTTAATCTGACTTAGCTATAAATGGGAGAAAAAGATCCTTGTGCTCTTTTCATGGTTACACTTATATAAAATACTGAAGTAGCTAGGCCCTGGTAGCTCACGCCTGTAAACCCAGCAGCTCAGGAGGCTGAGCTCTGAAGATCACTGTTCAAAGCCAGCTAGGCAGTAAAGTCTGTGAGACTCTTATCTCCAGTTACCACAAGAAAACCAGAAGTGGCTCTGTGGCTCAAAGTAGCAGAGCACTATTCTTGAGCAGAAGAGGTGAGACAACACCCAGGCTCTGAGCTCAAGCCCTATAACCGACAAAAAATAAAAGCTAAATTTAGTTATATTTCATATACCCTTTAATCACTCCATTTGAAACATAAAATAATCTTGTTTATAGGATTTTTCAGTAATTTTGGGACATTTTATTAAAGCTATTACTTCTCTTGCTATTAAAAAACAATTTAAAAATATGCATGCACTTACTATGTAAACAGACTACAAGAAATTGGAAAGATGTAGTGGGGTTGTTTTTGGTTTGTCATGGGGTTTGAACTTTAGGTCTGAGTACTTCCCTGAGCTCTTTCACTCTACCACTTTGAGGCCAAAGCACCACTTCCAGTTTTCCTATGAGACACAAGTCTCATAGGAACTTTTCAGCCCAGGCTGGCTTTGAACTATGATCCTCAGACTTTAGCCTCCTCAATAGCTAGGATTACAGGCAGAAGCCACAGGCGCTCAGCTGACATCATTCTTTAATAATAATTAATATGTATAATATCTGGGTGATAAAATTACTAAAATATAATTTAAAAAAATAAATCTCAGGAGGGGGATGTAGCTCACTGGTGGAGTGCTTGCCTACCACATTCAAATCCCTGGGTTCAATACCTAGCACTGCAAAAATAAATTCATCCAGCCAGGCTCTGGTGGCTCATGCCTATAATCCTAGCTATTCAGGAGGCTGAGATCTGAGGATCTCAGTTCAAAGCCAGCCCAGGCAGGAAAGTCCTTGAGACTCTTATCTCCAATAAACCACTAGGAAACTAGAAGTGGCGCTATAGCTCAAGCAGTAGAGTGCTCACCTTGAGCTGAAGAGTGCAGGGACAGCGCCCAAGTGCAGAGTTCAAGCCCCACCACCCACAAAAAAATAAATAAATAAAATTAAATTAAAATCATCTGAAGGGAAAAAACTTTAGAGCCTACTGATCCATATCAATGCTGAAGTATCAGGAATGGAATCCAATTACCATTTGTGAAAATAAATGCTAAGGTAGACTAAACAGGAGCCATTTAGAAAAGCCATTCAGAACAATAATCTAGATTTTAATCAACAAACTATCTACATAGATATCAATCATCTGAAGAAATGAAACTCTGATATATCTCCTATCCTGGTATGTCCAGTGATCTCCATTCTGACTAAATTACAGATAGATGCAAATGATCAATGTGAAGGCCCTTGTAGAGTAACACAGAATATTTAGGTACTGGTACTGACCGGCTCAGAGTCATAGCAATAATCATCCCAGCTCTGTCTGAGGGGTTTCTTTGTTATCTGAAAGTAAGGCAGATTAGTGAGGGAGAAGTTACTAGGCAGGTAACTGTGACTGTATTTCTCGATTAGATGCAGTGTGCAGGCAGCACTGCAGTTATCCAAAAAGGAGTTATTTTGCATAGCAGCAAAAAACAATAAGAACTTAGTAACCATTCAGATTCTGGGAGATTGTAGTTTTCAGTTCAACAAAAACATGTCATTGTCCAGTGAATCTGATATATATATATTAACTACTTAATTCTATATGCTCCTAACACTGGCATTATGACAAGAGTATGTCATGGCCACTGATGACAAGCAGATCCAAGAAGACAAGCCAACTCTGGATTTTACCTATTACTAACAATTTTCATCTCATTAACAGGTGAATAATGTTTTGTTAAAAAGAAAATATTGAAGCCAGATGGCAGTGGCTCACACCTGTAATACTAGCTACTCAGGAGGCTGAGATCTGAGGATCGAAGTTCAAAGCTAGCCTGGGCAGGAAAGTCCGAGAAACTCTTATCTCCAATAAACCACCAGAAAACCGGAAGTGGTGCTGTGGCTTAAGTGGTAGAGCACTAGCCTTGAGCTTAAGAGCTGAGGGACAGCGTTCAGGCCTAGAGTTTAAGCCCCATGATCGACAAAAGAAAAGAAAATACTGAATCACCCAGAACTGAATTAGTCATTTTTTTTAAATCTACTTAGTTCTATCCAGGAAAAGTGACTAATATTAAGTCAGAAAGTAATGTATTAAGTAACTTTTAAGTTCTTGATATATTAATAAAAGATAAAACAGTTTAAATTAATATCAACTTTAAAAATTAAGATATCAGGGTCTGGGAAGGTGGCTCAGTGGTAGAAAGTTTGCTTTGCATGCCTGAGGCCCTGGGTTCGATTCCTCAGCACCACATAAGCAAAAAGAAAAAAGCCGGAAATGGCGCTGTGGCTCAAGTAGTAGAGCCGCTAGCCTTGAGCTGAAGAGCTGAGGGACAGCGCCCAGGCCCAGAGTTCAGGCCCCACGACAGGACCCAAAAAAAAAAAAAAATTTAAGATATCAGATATCCAGGGAAAAGGTGCAAGGTGTTAATTTCATCATCCTAAATAAGTACTAATTACTGGACATATCCTCAAAATGTCAATTAATTACAAAATCTGAAGTGGTGCTGTAGCTCAGTGGTAGAGCACTAGCCTTGAGCTTAAGAGCTGAGGGACAGTACCCAGAGTTCAGGCCCCACAACTGTCAAAAAAAAAAAAAATATTCACAAGGACTTTTGTCATTGCTTTAAACGACCTTTTTTCCATAGACACAAAAAAAATAAGGCAATCTATTATTTTAATGATTCATTAATTTTAAATTTTTGTTAATTTGAAGAATAAAATTAGAGAATTCAAGATTATGAAAACTTGAGAATCACTGTTTTGGAGACTTAGGACTGAGTTTTGAGTTTCAAGGAAAGAATCATATTCTCTAATCATTTGCCATTAAGGAATTTCATATTGAAGGTTTAGGGGAAGGTTTATTAAATTATACACAGACTGTAAGTATCATAGTATCATGCAAAGACATGCGCTACACTACAAAACATGCAAATCAGGTTTCCAGCCATCTCTTACAAAGGACAAACTTTAGTATTAGCAACATTTAACAGGAAAATCACTCTGAAAAGAACATACCACTTTCTGATATGGAAGGACCAGTAAATGGGGTTATTACTTTCTTAAAGAATTTCACAGGAAGTAGAGCTGCAGCTCAAAGGGACAGAGTGATAGGGTTGAGCCAAAAAACACAGAGGCAGTGCCCAGGCCCTGAGTTCAGCCCTAAGACCCACCAAAGAAAAAATAAAAAAGAATTTCACAAAATACAAGAATATACGGTCAGGCACCAGTGGCTCACACCTCTCATCCCAGCTACTCAGGAGGCTGAGATCCGAGGATCAAGGTTCAAAGCCAGCCCAGGCAGGAAAATCCGTTAGATTCTTATCTCCAATAAACCACCAGAAAACCGGAAGTGGTGCTGTGGCTCAAGTGGTAGAGCACTGGCCTTGAGCTAAAGAGCTGAGGGACAGAGTTCAGGTCTAGAGTTCAAGCCCCATGACCAACAACAACAACAAAAAGAATATATGTAGCTATTCTTTTAATACTTAAATGAAGGTGATAATCTATAATTTGAAAAATACATTAAATTATTAGATCTCATGTAGAAAAATACAAGTTGATACCCATTACCATAATTATGCACACACTAGAAAAAAATACCTTTTTCAAGAACCAAAATTTATGCCCTACAATTTGAAATGCTTTTCAAAAAATCTCACCTGGTTGAGATAATGATATTCCTCAGGTTGTTTAAGATGGAATGCTAACCTCTCTTCTTCACTTGCTCCTGCCAGGAGGTAATAGAATACATGATAGTTCCTATTGGGGAAAAAAATAGTATAGCTTTATAGTAAGCATGACTTATGGTAGGGCATTTAATGAGCCAAAAAAAAAAAGCACTAGCTTTGCTTATTTTTAATACAAATGTGATAAATTCAGTATTTAAGTGTGCCAAATAGTGAAATTTTAGATGCAGAATACAAAAGAGGAATGAGAATGCAATGACCAAATTAGAAGTTTTTGAAAATTTGTCAGGAACAACTTTTATAAGAACTCTGAAAACTAATCAAAGCTTGAAGCAATCTTGGGTGTATTTACCAACTATATCTAAAACAAAAGAGGATGTACACCTGCTGAAGTCATATGGAGCATTATTATACTACATAAGTTTCTATAAATGCAAAGGAACTAAAATCACATAATGCTTAAACTGAAACCAATTAAAAATTAAACACCAGTAACAACAGATTTTTACAAAGTTTACAGATATGTGACAATTCAATAACACATTCATAAATAACCAATCATGAGTGAATGAAAAAAATAAGATAGGAAACTAGAAAATACTTGGAGATGCACAAAAAACACTTGGTTCCAGAACACCATTAGTCAAAAAAAAAAAAAAAAA